CCTCTCTGTACCTTAAGTGTTTCATCAAGACAAGATAAGGTGATATAAAGTCTGTTGATCTGCTAGGAAATCATTCAGCTAAAGAAAATTTGAAAAGGTTTTATTATAAATATGGTAAATTATTTTTTTATGTTGGTGGATTCATCCAAAGATTATAGAAAAACTACTGTGAATTATGTATGAGATATGTATGAGATATTGACAAACAATGTCAACAATTTTGACATTGTTTGCAACATGTCAAAATGTGAAAACAACTTCAATAATCTTACTTTTTCTGCAAATGCAACAATTGCACCAGTTTTTAAGAACAACTTTACTGGCCTAAATGCAGTCTGCAGGGTTTCTCGTACTTAAATGCATTAGGCAAGTGACCAATCATGCCAAACTCTGGCTTCAGGAGTTGATATGTTGGCTAGTTGGAATTGTGGGAAGGGGTAGCATTCATGGAACCTGTACATCAGTGCATGTTTTTGCATGCTGCTGCAATCTGGTTGCATTCTCAAGCCTCACCCTGAAATTGTTCCATTGCACTGTCCTGTTATTTACAGACTGAGGTTACTTTTGAAATCACTTTAGTGTAGTAAGTAACCCCATAATAATGCCTTCATTAGCTTTCACACCCTATCTCAGTGACTCAATCTGGTGATCTGATTCAGAACGCCAGTTCTTGAAGAAAGCAAATAGTAATTTCTAAAGCGAAACAGCAGAAGATGTAGCCTTAAGGCACAAGAAAAGGCGCTGGCCGGTTCCCTGCTCCCTAAAATGCAATCCAAGAGAACAGTTTGAACATGCACACCCTCCTAATGTGTTCCTCTTCTGCACAAGTTCTTAAAAGCACAACGCAGTGACAATTATGAACTTTAAATGAGCCTTCATTGGAACAACTTTGTGTTGTTCCAATGAACACAGTTTACAAATACACCAGTTTTGTAAACTGGTGTATTTTTTTATTCTTTACTGGTGTATTTTTAAAGTTCGCAAATTATACAAACTACACATTTAAAGAGTTTTAATAGGGAAAATGTAGGTACCAGTTTTTATTCATTTGCAGGTTTGTCATATTTGGTGTCATAAGCTCAATATGCAGAGCTCTGCAGAACGCAAACTAATACTGAGCAGCAAAGCTGTATGGAGTAAAACCTGCTTTGAACCTTACTTTGCCCCCAGGCTTAACACCACAGCCAGGTGGACAGTAATCCAACCAGACTACAGCTTAGATAAAGAACTACACCTTTGAATCTTTGGAGCTCTTGGCTTTACATACATGAGGCTATTTTGAGGATGTGTAATCCAAACCTAAGTGTAACCCTAACACTGCACCAATAAGCACCTGCTGCTAAGTGAGCATTTGTGGGGCTAAAAAAAAAAAAAGCCAAATCAAACTTTTGCCAATTTCTACAAACGAGAAATGCTTAAAAGAATATGCCTCTGTTAAGATTGCTCTTAAATATTTACTGTAATGTTATTTTATAATAATATCTTCCATGTTTTGTGTTCTGTATCAGCAGCATTAATAAGTAAAACTCTCATCATGCTATCTTCTAAAATCCATGGCATGGCTAATAAAAAATTCAACAGTGTTCTTTGAAATATCTCCTGTTTGATATTTCAATCCTGTGAGCTCAATTTCGTTTAACTTTACAACTATTTTAGAAATAATTTTATCTGTCACCTATAATATCATATGCAACAATTGTTTTTAGCTAAAAACATTTTATATTTGTTTTTTTTCTGCAGAGAATGTGAATAGTATTTTCCAAAAAAAAAAACAAAAAGCAATTTCTATCTTTTTTCTCCATGGATGAATTGGTTCAGTTTGCCACCCTTCTGAAGCCATAATTAATGTAAACAGATAACATCAATAAACAGTCTCTTTTTACACATACTGCACAGCTCTCACTGGTAAACTAAAAATCCAAAAAAAAGGAAACAATAATCTTAAAATAAACAATTTGATTAGAAGACACCAAGACCATAAAAAACACCCACAGCTTGTATTAACCAAAAAATTGTATCGCTTCATTTACTCATTTTATTTGGTGTCATAGTTCCCGCTTTTCTCCAAGGTACAGGAATCTGGCATCAGAATTCATTGCTATGGTTCCTGCTTATGAAATTTATCTCCTCTTTTGGACACTTTTTAAAGAAAAAACTACTGTGTCACAAGTGAGTATTTTGTTGGAATGATTCATTACTTTGCGATTGCAATTGCTACTACATCTGGGTCAATCTTCATATGTACTGCATTGCTTTAGCTTTGCTGTTAGAGGAATGTAAAAGCACCATGCAGAAAACACACAAGGTATAGTTCACAAAGTTTGATGTGAATGCGTTCGAACACCAAATTATTATCACAATTACGACTGTCACAATAACAAATTTTGCGGTCCGATAAATTGTCCCAGAAGTTATTGCATTAATTGATAATATTGTTATTTTGAGAGCATTTTTCAGTAATATACTAGTAATGGCAAAATAATACAAGAACACATTCTCAAAGATCAATAAACTTTAGAGTCTTATGAACGTATAACACTGGACCTGAAAGACATTTTAAATATCTAAAGTAAGTAAACTAAAACAACAAAACTTTTCATTCAAAAGAAAAAAAAGGGCTAGTTAAGACCAATGCACCAGACTGAATGCTTTTGTCATCCACTGTTTGGTAGAAAGGCAGAGAGAAAAAAAGACAAAAACAATAAATTATACAAGTGAAAATTATTGAGCTTGCTTTAATTTATCAAGCAATCAGTTGGAGAATTAACAGAAGCAAAACAGCATACCTATGCTCCATTTAATTCAGTTGTTAGGACTTTCGGGTTTCATATTGTGAAAGCACGAGTTGCCACAAAAAGGGATTTAGTTCAGTTTCTAAACCTTCTGCAATCAGATTGACTTGATAGCCATGTTAATATCCTAAACAGTATTTGATTCTATGTGGTTAATAATGGTGATGCAGTTCACTGCACTGGGCTAATCTAAGGGAAACCACAAGCACTCAGTAAAAAAAGAAAGTCATTTGTTGTTTGTTGTTTCCGCTCTAAACTGAACTTTCTATTGCCCATTTCAGGGTCTGTGAAAATTTCAGAGTAGAGCCTCAGGCAGGACATTTTTGAAACAATGTACTCACGTGCTGCAGATTAGTACCTATTTAGTAGTAGGTATTATAGTGACCTCTGCATGTTTTATACTGCACTTATGAATTTTATACATTCAGCAAATTACAGCTACTGTTGTCGTTCTGGGTACAGCTTCTGAAAGCCTGACAGGAATTACTCTATTTCAGCAACTTCCCTGTTTGAACTGTTATTAAACGTAGTTTGAAGTCACAAATATTTTTTCTGTAAGTTTTGCTACAATGATCTATTTAGTAATTTGAAAAAAAAAAAAAAAAAAAAAACATGGGAAAAAACCCCCATGATTTTACTTATTTATTTTTCAAAATTCAAAATATTTTCCACCATGAGGTTTGGACAGTACTAATATACATTTTATTACAGCTGTTCCCAATTTATGATCCCTCTTGAAAAAAGCTTCCTGGATAGTAGTTTTAAGTAGATAATTAATATAGACATTAATATTCAAGGATTGATACCTTCCATTACATGAATCCTTTTAAATTTAATTGAAAACCCACTTAAATACAGTGGCTTAACACACATTAAGAAGTATCTTTCTTTTGCTTTCCTTCCCTCATCTCTGTGCCACATTCTGCTGAGATTCAAATGCAATCCAATAATTGCGCTGGGATGTCAAGTCGAGCAGCCAACAAAATAGAGACCCGTTGAGGAAAGCTGTCCTGTGGTAACAGATTTAAATCCTAAACGATTCACCTCCCTTTTGTCACCTGATACTTGGTCTTGAAGTATCTGCTCCAAGATCAACACAACTACTTTGGTCACAATGTTGTCAGATGTGTGTGAAATCAGCGCACTGCATTGCATGTGTTTTTCACTGTAAATGCAATGACATTTCTTGTTGTAAAATAATAATTTATGTCAGTACTGTCCAATGTGTTTTTTTTCAAACACTGCTTAATTGCAGTACTCCTATTTTGTGCCCAATGGAAGCAACCAAAGAGAGTTTTCCAGCACAACACTGGTGGCTAATGGCTCCAAGCTTGGTGTATAATTTGAAGCATCCCTTTCGCTGAGGTAAAGGTCTATTTCACATCTTCTAAAAGAATCTGAACTGTAATTAATCATCTCTAGTTCAAAATCTAAAATACTTTAACAAGTTTATTCCACATTAAGCAACAGCTTGAGATTTATCAACTTATTCTATTTCTATGTTCTATGTTTCTCCATCTACATCTCTCTAACTGAAAGAGAATATTTAAAATGGTTAATTTCTTGTCCTGTTTTTCACATGTCATAACAAAAGTCAGTCACGTTATGGGTTTTGTTAGCAAAATGGATAGTGTTTCAGCAAGGGGAAGGAGTTTTTAGGAGTGGGTCAACCAGGGAACCAGTTGTGAAAGAACCGCCTCTGGTTATCAAAAACAATTTCAGTAAGCTTTGAATTAGATGCATAATTTCTGCATGTTAAAAAAAGGAGTAGAAGAACTTTTGAGATTTCATGCCTTATTTGGTCTATCATCCTTGTATTAACACAATGGTGCCAGATATACATGTATGTTTTCTGTTCTGTTACATTCAATATTTAGCAAAAGCAGAAAGGAAATCAGAGATAGGCTTGTCCTATATATGTACAACAGGAAGTCAAAGAGGAGTTAACAACCCAAGCAAGCAAGCACATTCACTTCAAACTATAAATCAGCACATGAATAATTCCTACATTGCTAAAGTTTAAATTCTGCTGATTTGCCATACAGTGACACTGACAGGAGATCTAACCACTGGAGTTATGTCATCACGTGTAACAACACAAAGCCTCGTGGTTTTGACAGCAAATGTGGCTTGAAGTGGAACACCAAAGAGTCGAGGGGGGAAAAACAAGCGTGGATCATCATCAAGGCATTAGACGATCTGACTTACCGAGTGATTGATTCCCCACATGAGTACGCTGAGCAGAGGGTCGCTGGCACGGAAGAGCTTCACTTTCTGAGCGACGAAGTGTTTCTTCTTCGTCTTCGTTTTGCTCGCAATAGATGCGGCGATGCTGGCCGCCGAAGCCATGTTTCAAGCAAACTGGGTGGTTGCTGCAGTCCGTCGGATGGATGATGTGTAGAGAGCGTCTCCGCTTGAAGCTGGCACTGTGGCCTCACGATGTAGTAGTGTTAACACTATTCATTTAGCCACCTAACAAACCGAATAGGCCGAATATTTTTTTAATGCCAGGAACAGTTTGGGTTCTGTTTTAAGAAAGGATGAGACGAAGCTAACAATGCTGCTCTCCTGCACCTAAAGCCGTCCTCCGCCTCCCGCAGCCCACATCAACACTCTTCCTTCCTCGACTCGGCTGGAGCCCTCACTGAGCTGGCGTTAGCATAGCTAGCTACACGGGATAGCAAACTCTAAGTGTTAATATCGTAAAATAATAAATATAAACACTGACAACTGAAGAAAGGGTAAATTCCCCTGGGAAATGGCGAACAAGCGAGGTTTTATCTGCAAAAGGGAAGATTAATATGACAAATGAATTACGCTGAACGACTAACCAGGCAAACAGCGATAGTCCTTCCGACCTTCGATGGCCATATGACGGTAGAAAGCAGAAGCAGGCTCCGCCGCTCACTGCTGCTTCGCTACCGTTAGCTCGCAAGCTAACCAGCGCTACAACTCGCCAGCTTTCAAGGTCCTCCTACGCGTTTGTAATCAGTCAGTAGAGATGACAGGGGCGTATCCTGTCATATCCATGCGCTGTTCGAAACAAAACACCGACCCGCAGATAATACGACGTTAATGTCCACCGGAGGTCAGCTCCTACTCCGCAGCACTGATGTTCATGTGTGCTGCTGTCAAATGACAGCTCGACGGATGGGAGGTGACAGTCCGAGCGGTGCAATGTCTGCTGCTGCGCTGATTCGCCGCACCTCCCGCATATATATATATATATAATATATATATATATATATATATATATATATATATATATATATATATATATATATATATATATATATATATATATAGTCCTAAATTAAAATTAATTTTTAACCACACACCGTACATTCAACATTTAGTGCTTTCTTTTCTATACATTTTCAAGCATTTGTTTAAATAGTGATGCATCAGCAGAATCCCACCGGACATTCCCAGTTAGAATGAGATAAATCTCAGGCTCTTTTCAGGAAGCAGCGCGATAATGTCCTTCACTACCAGAGAGGTAATGTCTGTAGAGGTCATTTCGTTTTCTGGTGCATACTACGCTGTTTCCACTGGCACATTGCTGTGTCAGTACCTCTGTAAAAGCTGGAGGCCTCAATGTGCTGATGCTGTTTAGACCTCATTTGTTTTATGAGTCACTCTTCATAGCAGCACATTTAAAACCTGCCTCCCCTGTTGCCAACGCAGGTCAAGTCACCCTTCCCCACATTTTTTTTTAACAAATCACACAGACAAATTATTTCTCAACTTTTGCCTCTACATGCATGCATACTTTTGTCAGTATTTACAACAATGGGTTTCTGTACAATCTGAAAACAACATTTATTTACATTATTTTTATTTGGAGAATGAATACCATTATATAAAAGTTCCATCCATCCATCCATCCATCCATCCATCCATCCATCCATCCATCCATCCATCCATCCATCCATCCATCCATCCATCCATCCATCCATCCATCCATCCATCTACAAAACAAAACCAATCGTACTGTATCAACATCTTTCTTATGTATAGTGACGTGTTTGTTGCGTGCATGTATCTTCTTGCCAGTGGGGGCGCTCTCGTGCCGCTGTGGGTCGAACGGGGAGAACGAGTTTCTTGGTTCTGAGCATGCGCGGTCAGAATAAACAAACTTCCAGGAGAAGTATTGTTTACGCTCACTTCCTTTGATCCACAGGTAGGATAAAAGGCATCTTTCATAAGCCCATTTAAAATGTTATGTAAATATATAAAGATTAGTTTTGTGGTCTATTGTATAATTTAGATGTGTCATTTGCACAGTTTTATATTAGCGTTGATCTGTGTCGGCATATGGCTTGATCTCCTTCGTAACCGCTGTAACGGTTATAACTGTATTGTAATTGCATTTATTATTATTAATTTTAAACAACAAAATAGAAAAGAAGACGGGGGAGAGGACATGGAGAAAGAGGACCCGGAAGCGGTATGAAACGCACCTTCTAACTTATCCTAACTTACCTTATAACTTGTTATTTACAACAAGCAAACAATAAACAAAAACAAATAGACAATGAACAGAAACTGATGACTATTTTTGGTCACATGGATGACATTTATGTGGTACCCCTAATTATAATGTAAAAAAAAAAAAGCCTAAAAATATATTCATTGAGTGATGTAGCATAATCTTCACTTCAAAAATATATTTCAAAAAAAGCTTGCATTTAAGCCCACTTCAAGTATTTGGTCGTTAAAAATAGCAAAATAAATTGGTCACTGTGTCATGCTGTTTATGTACAGCATGACACAGTGCTCACTGCTTTAAAATTACTTAATTGATGGTCTTTGGGTCATCAAGTCTAACAGCCAGAATTGGTGCCATAAAATACTGAATCCTAAAAATCTATTAAATGTTCTTAGAGGAGACAAAGTGAACTCCAACTGGCAATAGAGGACTGATATTGATAGTATTGATATAAGTAATTTTGACACTGATACGCACTGATATAAAGAGATATTTTTAAAATGGATGCTTGTACATCCCTGAATATTATTTTTTTCAAAAAGAAAATTTTTGTTTCATAGAATTTGTGAGAGAACATGTTACTATGTTAAGAGCTGACATAGTAACAGCTTTTACTATGTCAAAACAGTAAAAATATTTTTCTCCTTTTTTCTACAACATAGTCCTCCACATTATGTTTTTTTTCTTTTTTTGTTTCTGCCATAGTAATTCTGTATTTCTCTCTTGGCACTCAGATTGGACCACTGTCTCTTGAGAGTAAAGTCCCAGCAACAGTGGTGTTGCTCTTAAGCTCTCAAGAGGAAGACATTCTAGTAAAAGCAAGTGAAGCAATCCGAAAATTTGCTGAGAAAGGTAGAAAACACCACAGACACTAAATCAAACACAAAATTAAACATTAATATTTGTTGTATGTTAATATTGGACTGCTATGTTCTATGTAAACTCATATTTTGGACAAAATTCTATTTTCTTAAGCTTTCTTGCTCGCTGTCTCCCCCTGTTGTTAGGAGAAGAAAACAGAGTTAGACTGCTGGGATTAGGAGCCCTTGGACCTCTCTGCAAACTTATTGATCACAGCAATGAAGTGATCAAACGCAATGCCCTCATGGCCGTGGGAACTATGGCCACCAATGGTAAGTTCTGTGCAATTCATCAGGTATGAAATAAATGAATTTAAGTGAATATTTTTGTCAATACCAGTACATTTTTCTGCCTGTCTAGCTGACCTTTGACTAACTATATCTACATGTTTTAAAGGATTGGTTGACTTTGAATGACTTATTTATTATTTTAACTAAAAGGCGAAGTCAGCGAAGCGCTAAAAAAAGAGGATGTCATTCCATTGCTTTTACAAAAGCTCACAGCTGAAGGTGAGTTATTTTGAGCTTCAGATTTAGTCTCTTAATTATTGTAAAAGTGATCAAAACATAAAAAATCTGATTTTTAGTTCATTGATGTCTTATTTCTTTCTGACATTTTACCCTGTCTTTCTTTCTCCAGGGGATGTTATTGTGCAAGAGTTTGCAACACTGAGCCTTGCTTCTATGGCAGCAGATTTCAACTGCAGAGTCCAGATCAACACCAACGATGGTATGCCACCTTTAATCAAACTCCTCAGCAGCCCGGACCCAGACGTCACAAAGAACTCATTGGAGATCATCTTCAACCTAGTTCAGGTGACTCAGAGCTATGAGCCTAGAGAAAATTACAGGACTATGCTGCAGTAAGTCTTTTCATTTGAAAATATGCCAACATTCATCAGGATTTAAAACACAACTGAACGTATGACTGTCATGTTTTGTGACCCTCTTCTAACCTCTTTGATTTTGATGAATGAAGGACCTCGAGACCCTCAAGGTTCTGCACGAGTTAGGTGCTATCCCCCCTCTTCTGGAGCTCCTTAAGTCCGACTTTCCTGTCATTCAGCACTTAGCCTTACAGATATTTCAGTGTGTCACTACCGATTTGGAAACACAGAAGACCTTCAGGGAGGAGCAGGGATTTGAGAGGTTCATGGATCTTCTCGATAATATGGTGAGTATAGAAATTTTCCCAGAGTCATTTTTCATTTTTATCATGTTTTAGCCATAAACTTCAGTTTATTATATTTGAATTAGAAGTAGGGTTAGACCAACACAAAGGATCTTATGTTTGTTAAGTAAAAATGATACAAGACTGTCGACATCTACAATTAAAAATCAGAAAAGTGTGGTGTACATTTCTATTTACTCTCCGATGAATCGCTGTTCTGCAGGTGGATGTTTTTGGGGTATATCTCCACAACATTTATGCATCAAGAAATGCTTTTTCCAGAAATTTGAATTAGACCATTCAGATTTGGTTTCTTATGAGCAGAGCGCTTTTTTCGGAGGGAATGTCTTGTGGCTTCCCATCACAAGTGTTTTGGACTGGGTTGGATTTTTTGGTGGGGGTCTCTGAGTAAGGAGAGTTAAATACAAAAATGCCTGGGACGCTTTTTAGAACTTTATTTGTAAAATGTTTGAAAACCCCCAAACCTAAATAATTATGCACAACTTTGTTTTAGTCATCACAATTGTACTAGAATATATTGCATCTTTTTGATCGGAAAGAGTCAAAGGACATGCTATTTATGAGAAAAATATACTTTTGATAACAATGTCTTCATTTACTCACTTTTATGAATATTATTGCAATAGGATTAAGCAAAATAGAGGTAGTAAGAACTATTTAGAACTATTGTTTGTGTGCTATGAGACTGACCGTTTATTCCCTACTTGTTTTTTTGTTTATGTCTCTAAAAGGCGCTTAATGACCTACATGCTGAGGCCTTGCAAACGGTGTCAAATTGTTTGGGTGATATGGAGACTCTTCAACTCATCCACAAAAACGGAGGGCTTATAAGGCTGATGGAGTTTGTTCTCGCACCAAGCAGTCCTGAAATCCAGTGCATTGCAATCAAATGCATCACAATGGCAGCTCAGAGTTGTAAGAACATTAAGCAATGATCACATCAGGAACAGATTTAAGAAAATTTAGAACACACTTATAGTAGCTGCTGACGTTTTGTTGTTTGCTTGGATGTTTCTGAACATAGCTGAAAGCCGCGACGTTCTCCACAAGCAGGAGATCGAGAAAGTTCTAGTTGAGCTTTTGTCTGCGGCTGATGACAACGTAAAAACTTCTGCCTGTCAGGCTATCGCAGCCATGAGCTTAAATCCTTGCTTCAAACACAACTTCAGAGATTTGGGTACATAAAAATATACAGACTACATATAGTCACTGGATCGTGACATCAATTATATAGTGACTGCAAGGACATTTGAATTAGTTGGTTTTGTGTGTTTCAGAGGGCATCCCCCCTGTGGTGCAGCTGCTGCGTAGTGAGAGCTCGGCACTGAGAGAGGCAGCGACTCAGGCTCTCTCGAGCCTCACACATTGCAACAAGGCCAATGCGCTGTGAGTGACAAACATCCTGACCGCTTTTCCTCCTGCATGTGTTTCAGTCGTGACTAAGAGCCATTTACTAAACAAGGATTAAGTGTCATAAAGTAAACCACATCCTAATTAGCTACCATGCTTAAAAAAACAAGCAAAAAAAGAAACAGTGAAATTGCAAGAAGATAAACAGCGTACTTATTAGTGAAACCTATAATATGTGATTTCTATGTTCAAGCAGGCAAGACGATAAAGACAAACTGCCGTTCAACAACAAAAACATTCCAAAACAAAAAACATACTTTTATGGAAAATTACTAATTGGGCTCAAGAACATTTATGAAATCCTTGTTGATGACTAGCATTGATAAGAGTGCAAAAAATAATGGAAGACAAAATAACAAGGTAAACAATGAACAAATTTAAATACTTTTAGAGGGACAGTTTGTTTTTAGGTTACCAGAAGATACAATTTCTTTCTTTTCATTTTCAGTCTTTTTTCTATAAATGTTTTATCACATTTTACCTGAAATCTGTCACCCATCAGTTATTTTATGCTTCTTTTTGCGTCATGCCTTCATTACAGTTGTTCTCCAGAAAAACTCTGCATCATCCATCATCTCTGGCTCATTAAACGCTTCTGTGCTTTCCTTCATTTCTCACCTTACTCCCACCTTGAATACATCCAATTCATTTATGTTATTTTTCTGTTTTTATTCAGATTCTTTGCATGTCAACACTTGACAGATTGAGACACATGTCAAAATACATTAGATAGTCTGTGCTTGTAGGACAACATCAAGGAGACTGCAATGTCCGTAACAGTCAGTTAGATTTCATGGTTTCCTGAGCACCCCACCCCATCTACTAACATGGTATCTTCCAGTGCAGTGTATGAGGCAGGGGGCCATCAGATCCTCATCCAGCAGCTTTCTGAAAGCTCTACAAGCACAGTGGCCAGCTCTGCTGCCACTCTTTGTAATATGGCAGAACAGGAGATCATCCAGTCCAGCATCCTGTCACAAGGAGGCGTACAGGCTCTGGTTGAACCCTTGCAGTCCACAGATACACAGGTCCTGATGTACACTGCCCTGTGTGTGGCAAAGCTGGCCTGTAACAACGAAGAAAGGGAAAAGGTTTGTCTAATGAATGATCCCAGCTTAAGAGTTATTCTCATGTTTTCCAGTGATACAAGTATTGTGACATTGGTTTGTTTGTGTGTTTGTTTGTTTCTTTATCAAGAAAAAATTGCAAGTACCAAGGTAAAATTAATAAAATTTCTGCTGCTGTCAACTAACAAAACACTGTGTCTCGCATAAGTACTCCAACCAACAGCCAAGAGGCCAATGGTAACTCTAGAGTAGCTGAAGAGACTCAGCTTAGATGGGAGAATTTGTTTACCGGACTATTTTTTATGGGAAAAATAATCAATAAAGGCTTCATATGTGGAATGTTTTTGAAAGCTTAACTAGAAGAAAGCAATCGTTGAAATTAATTCTAAATGGGGACTTTTTTACGTTTGCCCTAAGCCAAAATGCAGACACACCAAACATGTGGAAGGTGTTTCATCCACATTAAACCAAAATCAAACTTGCAGCAGAATTATAGCGATGGTGGAACAAGACAATGTTCCCATAGTGTAAGACAAAATGACCTGTTCCACCAAAATAAGTTCGAATTAAACTTTTTTGGTTTAGCAGTGAAGGTTATTGTTCTGCTGAAAGGTGGCCAAGTTCGATTTTGGTGCTGATTTGTTTTGATTGAAGAATCCCAGTCAGAGTCCTGATTTCATGTTCATAGACACATTTATTATGGCAATTTCAATTTCACAATTATTCCCTCCTTTGTATTATTCTGACTCAACAAAATTTACAAAACTTTCATACTGAAATGTAAGAACATGTGAAACAGTTTAAGAGCGAAAATACTCTTGCACAGTACTGCATTTAAACCACATAAGTCATTTAAAAAAGCAACTCATTTAGAATATTTTAAAAATTCTTTCCAATTATTTCTTAAATTCTATCTCTTTTTTGAAAACAGTTTCACAAAGCTGGAGGCCTTGAACCACTCGTCAATCTGCTGTATTCCAAAGACAAAGAGCTGCTGAAACATGCGTGCTTGGCCGTGAATGTTTGCGCTCGGGATACATCTTGTGCTGTGAAGATGTGCAAACTTGGGTAAAACACAGATATAAAATATAGTAATAAAATTTCACTATAATTTTTATGACTTGAAATTCAGAAAAGGTAAAGCACTGTTACAACATGTTAAATCTGGGCACAATGTCATTAATGTAGTTTTTCAACCAGCCAGCAGATGGTAGCATGGTACAATTTATTGAGCCTTTTGATTTGGGAAGCGATTGTTTGTATGTGTATTGAATATGTTTTTTCTCACGATTATGTCTGTCTCAGGGCCCTGGAAATACTTCAGAAAATCAACCAGTCAGCAAACCGTAGTTTCAGCGAGTTGGCCATTACCAGCCTGCTTAACTCCAACTTGCCTGTTAAATACAGCCGGATGGGATGTTTGACTCCAAATGACATTATTACAAGCGGCTTTTATGATGTTGGGAAGGTTTGTTTACTAAAATGTGAAGGTCTTGAGTGACAATAAAGAACAATGTAAACAGGGAACAAGACAAATTGTCTTGTTAATGCCAACAGCTGCTTGTGGCCAAAATGCCAATAAACTTCCTAAAACAAATAAGTTTTTATGTAATAAGATCAACTGTCACCAAGTCGCCGGGGCTTAAACTTGGTTTATTCAACCAGCGGTTTGATACTCAAGGCCGCAAAATCAGTTGCTCTTGAGGTTGTCTTTGACTGATGTCGTCATCTTTTTGATGACCTTAAATATTTAAGTGTTGACAAAAACACAGAAAAGGCAAAACCACATTTTTACACTTGAAAATGATAATACCAGATTATTTTTTTCCTACTTTGCTCTCTGGACAACAACCAAAATATTAGTCAGAGATTATTTGTTATTGTTTTTTTTTTTGTTTTGTTTTTGCTTTATTTAACAAAGAACAAAGTATTATTTTATCACCGTTTGATTTATTTCTCTCTGTTTCATACAGGCTTTTCTGGGTCAGCCATTTCTGACTTTGGAGGAGTTGATCAACCAGCCACTCAATCAGAAGCGGGAAATTATTGCTTTCAACATCCCAATGGAGTATGAATATTGAAAAATGCTATAATTTTGCCACTTAATAGATTCTAGTTTTGCATTGTAAAATCTTGTCAAAACAGAGATGTGCAAAGATGCTTGGATCAAAGATTGTGTTTTGGTAAATGTATGGAGCTGAACCCAATCAGACTACTTTGTAGAATAATCATCTGAAAGTTTATAACAAAAATTAACAAGTTTTAAGAATTAACCTGGAATTAGCTACAAAACTATTCATATCTTATTGTTTCTGAGGTTTGTATCTCGGTCTCCCACCCTCCCCCTGTCTGCACCAATCCGATGCTCTACTTTCCCTAGGTTTTTGCTTCTCTTTTCTTCTCTTGTCTTGCCTTTAGTGTGCCCCATCATTGTGGGCTCAGTGGGTAAATGATCCCCTTTTAAGATGCCAAACACTCAGAGCTGTTATGTGTAGACCAAGGAACAAACACATCATTATGAACACACACTGAAGGTGTATCGTATTCATCTAACCTATAAACATTCAGTATGGGATGCCAGGATTCACACTTTGTGTGTTCAGAGAAACATAATTGCTAATATTCTACCTCATTTACTAAACACTCTTAAGTATATGAACCCAGTAACAAATTGTGAAACAGAAAACTGCACACGGCACCTCAGATTCACTCCTTCTGTTTCCAAGAATGCAAAAGAAAAACACCACATTCATTCCTAAGCAGCCTGTTGTGTAATCTAAGCTTCGGTTTGTCCAACTCAAGTAAAACTTAGCATACATCCCAGTGCAGCTTGGTTGGATTTTTGGCTTCTGCTTCATTCTCGTTAGAAATGCAGTGCACGGTTAAATCACAAACATTCTGTGTTCTCAAAAGCTTTTTGGATCGGTTTCTTTGAAACAGTCACAAACACCCAACACATATAGGGGCCTCTCTGTTAACCATCAAGCTTATGCATTGAAAAAAAGATGGAAAACACCATTGAATAATAGGAACATAATCACTTGTCACTATAATACTCACCTTACAGGTATAAGATATTAGGAATGTGATTGTTTTTTAATTCAATTACATTTTATTTATTTATCTATTTATTTTTACTTTTAGGCATATTTTATCTAAAGAAAAGAACGAGTTTGAGAAATACAAATAAGATTGCAAAATAGAGCAACAGTTTTACATACATAAACCTTTTGTGTGCCACAGAGAGACAGTAGATCTAGCAGAAGAGAGAAAACCCAGGCCAACAGAATCACTAATTGCCAAGATAGTGGATGAAATATTAGGACACACAATATCAAAGTAAGTATTTGCTCTAAAGTCTTGACTTGAACTAATTTTAGTATCAGATTTGAAGCAGGAGTGGCGTGCTGTGGTGGCGCAGGCGGTTCGCATGCCCCACGTTTGGGGTCTCAGTCCTTGACGCGGAAGTCGCTGGGACCAGGAGTCAAACCGCATGTCTTCCCCCCTCTCCTTGCCCTCTTTCCTGTCTACCTACTATCAAAAATATGACAAATGCCGCAAAAACTCTTCGGAGAAAAAAAATGATAAAAAATACAGATTTGAAGCAGGAGCATTCTTCTCTATTACAATTGGATTTCACCATCTCTCTGTGCAGAAGGCAAGAAGAGGAAGACAATCCCGATGAAGAGCTCCACGATGTTCTTCCAGAGAAGTCACCAATATCTTTTGGGGATGTCTCTCTGCTTATGCTTATTAAAGAGGCCAAAGACTCTGTCCTTTCACTGAAAGATGAAGGAGAGCAGTATGCAGCCTTGGCCAGGTATATGATGAATTGTGTTGCAAAATGTTGTTAAATATGGAATATCAATTATGCCATTGAGAATAGAAATGAGGTGTTTTTTTTAAAATGCCAAAGTCTTGGAAACAAACAAAACCTGAAAAAACATATTATTATAGATAGCTTGTCGATCCAAACGACATAACACTAACACTTTCAGTTTGGACTGTCTCAACACCTTTATGAGTTTTTGCGGTTTCTGTCAGGTTGGTGAGTGAGGCCATGGGTGGAGCAGTGCCTCGGGAAAGGCTGCACGAATTAAGCTGGATGCTGCACCAAAGTGAGCTCAGGTTTCAACTCAAGTCGAATGTTCTTCCCATTGGTATGATAAACAAGGGAACTTACTGCCACAGAGCGTTTCTCTTCAAGGTATGACTTTCCACAGAATATTAGCAGGTTCTTAACTGTTTTGTTTCTCTCGCTTATCCTCCACTTTCCTGTCACCAAATATTGTCAGTGTTACTTTAACCCTTGTGTTGTCTTGCGGGTCAAAAGTGATCTATTACCATGTTTACCTGTAGAAAAAATACCCAAAACTATATTTTCCGACTTGAAATGTCATGACTTTTCCTAAATTGGCCTCGTCATTAGAAAAAGTGATATTTTTCTAATGACGTGGGCTGTTCACCACTTGGGTACAAGGATTGCCTTATGGATAATTTCTGACTAGGATTAGTATAACTAATTGCATGGCAACTCTGGAAAAAGAACTGTTTGTGATTGTGAAAAAATTGGGATTAGGTACGGTACTTTGCAATAGGACAACATCTCTAAACATACAGCTAAAGAGCTACAGTGAAATGGTTTGGACAAAAGTGTGTTAATGTGTTGTTGTAGCCCCATCAAAGATCTAAATGTGATAGGAAATCTGTGACAAAGCATGAAAGTTGAAGTTCACACATCCAGTCTCATTTATGTTGAGTGTGTTAGCAGAGACTAAGGTTTTCTTCAAACCTGGAAAAAGACTTGCATCTGCTAACTTCAAAAAATGGTGCTTCTGTAAAAATTGTTTTGAAAGACCATGTATCATTTTCCTGTTGAGATCATCAATATGACTATTTTGCAATGGGGCCTAAAATAAAATAAAGTTTGTAGTTCAGATGACTAATGTGCAAATAGGTTGTATAAACTTGGTAGTGATCTGTATTTACGTCCCACTCTGTCTCCTCTTAATCTTTCCAGTGTCTTGCCGATACCATCGGAAAGAGATGCAGTCTTGTTCGTGGTGATTACAATCGAGCCTGGAATGAAGTTATAATCTTCATTGATTACTATAAAAATCCAAGGTTTTCGGTGCCGTGTCGGTACATCGTGGACCTTATGCATCAGCCTGGAACCTTACTTCCAATTGATTCCCCGGCTGCTCAGCAGTATCAGACTATATAGTTTCAACCTGTTTCACATACTTGTACAAAATTTCAATATATATTAACCAAATGAGAGAACCCTGTCCTAAGAATAAGCTATAAGTTACCTCTTCTACCTGTTATTTTTTGTTTGGCTTTGCAAGGGTTAGCCAAACTGATATTTGTTTTAATCAGATCAGACGTTCTTTTATTCTGACATGCAGATTCAGGATGTAGAAATAAATCCAGATCACCTCCTGAGTGTTTGTTGTTCATTGAAAATGCATCCTGAATTGTGGTCTTACCTCAATTCCTTCCCACTGAAGCATTTTCTTGACAGAAAGCAGCAGCTCCCTCAGAACAGGTTCTTCTTTTTTTTTTTTTTTTCTTTTTTTTTTTTTTGCACAATTCCCTGCAAAAAAGCGGGTGAACTGAGTCCAGATGTGCCCATTAAGGTGATGGTTTGATTTTTGACCTGGAAGACCAGTGTGAACTCGTTGCAGCATGAAAGATCCCACCGTAACAGGAGCTCTTGGCTCCACTGAAGGCTGTGCAGAGACCTTTGGCGGAGCAGGGGCTCAAAGTTAAAAATGGGCACATTGACAAATTATAAAGCACCACACAACAACATAGCAGCTAATCAAAAATTGTATTGGATCCTACTATATCATTGCCATCATGTGGGTTCAATAGAACGCAAATGTAGTATATTTTCCCCAGCAGGTATAATGTTGCTGTTTCTGCTGCTGACAATCCTGGAGGGCTGAGCTGGTCTGAGATAATCGCTGTTAAACAGACCAGAGGAGAGAAGGTCAAAGGTTATGAATTTTACTAATTAAGTCCTAATAATATCCATTTAACCTCAAGAACAACTTGGCTGCAGAATTTTTGTAGATCAAAAAAGCTCAAAGGGTTTCACAATGTAATTTTTGTTAGCACCTCTGAGATCTAGAATTGCAAGACTGGGATATCGAGGCAAATAAAACTCAGTAGCTGCGTCCAGGGGCGCACCAGACATTCAGGGGCCCCAGAAATTGTTTAATTGTAACACAGACCATAGATCTAAACCTGTAATTTTCATTTATAGAGAATGACAATGTTATAAAATTTTATTTAATGCATTCTGTGAAAAAGTATGAAAAAAAATAGCTGAGAAAAAAAATACATTTAGCATTTTATTAGGAAGTTTACTTTGGAAAAGTTTAAAGAATCATTTTGAACGAGGGGCATCAAGGACAAAAGGGGCATGGGCTCGGGCCCATGCCCCGAGCCCATGCACATGCCTGCTTAGGATCAGATAAATCTAAGGCTCTTTTCAGGAAGCAGAGCGATAATGTCCCTCACTACCGGAGATAGATCCATCCATCCATCCATCCATCCATCCATCCATCCATCCATCCATCCATCCATCCATCCATCCATCCATCCATCCATCCATCCATCCATCCATCCATCCATCCATCCATCCATCCATCCATCCATCCATCCATCCATCCATCCATCCATCCATCCATCCATCCATCCATCCATCCATCCATCTACAAAACAAAACCAATCGTACTGTATCACCATCTTTCTTATGTATAGTGACGTGTTTGTTGCGTGCATGTATCTTCTTGCCAGTGGGGGCGCTCTCGTGCCAATGTGGGTCGAACGGGGAGAACGAGTTTCTTGGTTCTGAGCATGCGCGGTCAGAATAAACAAACTTCCAGGAGAAGTATTGTTTACACTCACTTCCTTTGATCCACAGGTAGGATAAAAGGCATCTTTCATAAGCCCATTTAAAATGTTATGTAAATATATAAAGATTAGTTTTGTGGTCTATTGTATAACTTAGATGTGTCATTTGCACAGTTTTATATTAGCGTTGATCTGTGTCGGCATATGGCTTGATCTCCTACGTAACTGCTGTAACGGTTATAACTGTATTGTAATTGCATTTATTATTATTATTTTTAAACAACAAAATAGAAAAGAAGACTGGGGAGAGGACATGGAGAAAGAGGACCCGGAAGCGGTATGAAACGCACCTTCTAACTTATCCCAACTTACCTTATAACTTGTTATTTACAACAAGCAAACAATAAACAAAAACAAATAGACAATGAACAGAAAATTATGACTATTTTTGGTCACATGGATGACATAGCTGTGGTACCCCTAATTATAATGTAAAAAAAAAAAAAAAAGACTAAAAATATATTCATTGAGTGATGTAGCATAATCTTAACTCCAAAATGTATTTTAAGCCCACTTCGAGTATTCAGTCGTTAAAAATAGAAAAATAAATTGATCACTGTGTCATGCTATTCATTCACAGTATGACACAGTGCTCACTGCTATAAATTTACAACAGTGTGATCTTTGGGTCATCAAGTCTAACAACCAGAATGCAGTATCTGAATCCCACTCGGTGTTCTGAATTGGTGCCGCATAAAATTCTGTACACTTTGTATGAATGAGATTACAATCGACCCTTTCGGCATCAAACACTGCAGATAGGTTCTGTTGTGAAACAGAAGATTACTATACAGAAATCACCTCATCCACATTGATGTATTGTGGGGGATATGTGGTATCGCGGATGTGTTTCTCTTCCAAAGGCCAATTAAATTTTCTAGTGTCATCATGAACTCTATGAAATTTGAAGAGAAAACTACTGACCTATGTCAGAAGTCAGAAAAATTCAAAGATAATTTTCTATGGCATGTTTTTAGAGGAGATAAAGTGATCTCCTATTGGCAATAGGGAGCTGTTACTGATAGCATTGATATCAGTAATTTTGACACTGATAGCCATTGGCATAAAGAGTTATTTCAAAAATAACTCTTTAAAAGAAAAATATCCAATTTAATCTTACTTTTTGTTTTTCAAAATAATTTTTATGTCAAAAAGCTTGTGAGAGAACATGTGACTATGTTAAAAGATGAATTTCTTTTCAAGTATTTTTCTTCTTTTTTCTACAACATATTCCTCCACATATGCACATGGTGTTTTTGTTTCTTTTTTTTGTTTCTGCCATAGTAATTCTGTATTTCTCTCTTGGCACTCAGATTGGACCACTGTCTCTAGAGAGTAAAGCCCCAGCAACGGTGGCATTGCTCTTAAGCTCTCAAGAGGAAGACATTCTAGTGAAAGCAACTGAAGCAATCCGAAAATTTGCTGAGAAAGGTAGAAAACACCGCAGACAATAATCAAACACGAAATTAAACATTAGTATTTGTTGTATATTAATATTGGACTGCTATGTTCTATTTAAACTCATATTTTGGACAAAATTCTCTTTTCTTAAGCTTTCTTGCTCGCTGTCTCCCCCTGTTGTTAGGAGAAGAGAGCAAAATTAAACTGCTGGGATTAGGAGCCCTTGGACCTCTCTGCAAACTTATTGATCACAGCAACAAAGTGATCAAACGCAATGCCCTCATGGCCGTGGGTATTATGGCCACCAATGGTAAGTTCTGTGTAATTTATCAGCTATGAAATAAATGAATTTAAGTGAATATTTTTGTCAATACCAGTACATTTTTCTGCCTGTCTAGCTGACCTTTGACTGACTATATCTACATGTTTTAAAGGATTGACTGTGAATGACTTATTTATTATTTTAACTAAAAGGCGAAGTCAGCGAAGCGCTAAAAAAAGAGGATGTTATTCCATTGCTTTTACAAAAGCTCACAGCTGAAGGTGAGTTATTTTGAGCTTCAGATTTAGTCTCTTAATTATTGTGAAAGTGATCAAAACATAGAAAATCAGATTTTTAAGTTTGTTGATATCTTATTTCTTTCTGACATTTTACCCTGTCTTTCTTTCTCCAGAGGATGTTGTCGTGCATGAGTTTGCAACACTGAGCCTTGCTTCTATGGCAGCAGATTTCAACTGCAGAGTCCAGATCAACACCAACAATGGTATGCCACCTTTAATCAAACTCCTCAGCAGCCCGGACCCAGACGTCACAAAGAACTCATTGGAGATCATCTTCAACCTAGTTCAGGTGACTCAGAGCTATGAGCCTAGAGAAAATTACAGGACTATGCTGCAGTAAGTCTTTTCATTTGAAAATATGCCAACATTCATCAGGATTTAAAACACAACTGAACGTATGACTGTCATGTTTTGTGACCCTCTTCTAACCTCTTTGATTTTGATGAATGAAGGACCTCGAGACCCTCAAGGTTCTGCACGAGTTAGGTGCTATCCCCCCTCTTCTGGAGCTCCTTAAGTCCGAGTTTTCTGTCATCCAGCACTTAGCCTTACAGACATTTCAGTGTGTCACTACCGATTTGGAAACACGGAAGACCTTCAGGAAGGAGCATGGATTTGAGAAGTTCATGGATGTCCTCAATAATATGGTGAGTATAGTAATTTGCTGCAAGTAATCACACTATGAATTGATACCTTAAAGTTGCTTTTTGCTGTTCTGTAGGTGGATGTTTTTGGGGTATATCACTACTACATTTATCTCGAAATGCTTTGCCCAGAAATCTCTTTGCATGCTGGTCAAATTCAGATTTGGTCTCTTATGAGCAGAGCATTTTTTCCATATGAGGTGAACTTTGGAGGGAATGTCTTGTGGCTTCCCATCACGAGTGTTTTGGACTGGATTTTATTTTATTTCAGGATATCTGATTTAGGAGGGTTAAATACAAAAATGCCTGGCACACTTCTTAGAATTTTTATTTGTAAAATGTTTGAAAACCCCCAAACCTTTTTGCTTCCACTTAATAATTATGCACACCTTGGTTTTGGTCATCACAATTCCAGTGGAATATATTGTACCTTTCTAATTGGATAGAGTCAAAGGGCATGCTGTTTATGTGAAAAATATACTTTTGATAACAATGTCTTCAGTTACTCACTTTTATGAATATTATTGCAATAGGATTAAACAAGATAGAGGTAGTAAGAACTATTTAGAACTTTGCAAGTACTATTGTTTGTGTGCTATGAGACTGACCGTTTATCCCCTACTTGTTTTTTGTTTATGTCTCTAAAAGGAGCTTAATGACCTACATGCTGAGGCCTTGCAAACGGTGTCAAATTGTTTGGGTGATATGGAGACTCTTCCGCTCATCCACAAAAACAAGAGGCTTACAAGGCTGATGGAGTTTGTTCTCGCACCAAGCAGTCCTGAAATCCAGTGCATTGCAATCAAATGCATCACAAGGGCAGCTCAGAGTCGTAAGAACATTAAACAATGATCACATCAGGAACAGATTTAAGAAAATTTAGAACACACTTATAGTAGCTGCTGACGTTTTGTTGTTTGCTTGGATGTTTCTGAACATAGCTGAAAGCCGCGACGTTCTACACAAGCAGGAGATTGAGAAAGTTCTAGTTGAGCTTTTGTCTGCAGCTGATGACAACGTAAAAACTTCTGCCTGTCAGGCTATCGCAGCCATGAGCTTCCGCCCTTGCAGCAAAGACTGCTTGAAAGATTTGGGTACATAAAAATATACAGACTACATATAGTCACTGGATCGTGGCAGCAATTACATAGTGACTGCAAGGACATCTGAATTAGTTGGTTTTGTGTGTTTCAGAGGGCATCCCCCCTGTGGTGCAGCTGCTGCGTAGTGAGAGCTCGGCACTAAGAGAGGCAGCGACTCAGGCTCTCTCGAGCCTCACACATTGCAACAAGGCCAATGCGCTGTGAGTGACAAACATCCTGACCGCTTTTCCTCCTGCATGTGTTTCAGTCGTGACTAAGAGCCATTTACTAAACAAGCTTTAAGTGTCATAAAGTAAACCACATCCTAATTAGCTACCATGCTTAAAAAAACAAGCAAAAAAAGAAACAGTGAAATTGCAAGAAGATAAACAGCATACTTATTAGTGAAACCTATAATATGTGATTCCTATGTTCAAGCAGGCAAGACGATAAAGACAAACTGCCATCCAACAACAAAAACATTCCAAAACAAAAAACATACTTTTATGGAAAATTACTAATTGGGCTCAAGAACATTTATGAAATCCTTGTTGATGAATAGCATTGAAAAGAGTGCAAAAAATAATGGAAGACAAAATAACAAGGTAAACAATGAACAAATTTAAATACTTTTAGAGGGACAGTTTGTTTTTAGGTTACCAGA